TTTTGTTTATGAAAAAATATGTTATTATTTTTACTTTGAACAAAATAATATTAATTGAAATTGAAATTGAAATTGAAATCCTTTATTTGCTGGAATAAGGTACATTTTTAGGTGTTACTTTACAAGAAAAATAGTATTATTATCAGCATTAATATCTCACTGATAGATACTGATCATCCCCAATGATATAGGATTTTTTTATTATTATTTATAATCGTAAAAATAGTATATGGCTAACATGGAAACGCGATTGCAAAGTTCATCACAGAAATCACTTTACTGTTTTCGGTCCTATCATTACAATTTACCTATCATACCCTGTCAATTTCATAGATTACTTGGCAAAATTCATATAAGAAAAAACTCAAAGGTTTTTGCTAGGGATATTCACATACCAGAATTAAATTAAACTTCTATCATACTTTTCTAGTGTTTCGCTAAAAATACCTATCAAATTCTATTTTATTTTTATTATTATATGGGAGATCCATATTTTTTGTAAGTGTGGCCAATAAACCCAATAAATTTCTGATTTTTCTTCTTTTTTATTGTCTATATGTTAATAAGTAGATATAGTACTTATGTTACTAAATTCTATGAAAGATAGTATACAATTCCCTACAGCAACAGATAGACATCTAGACATATTTTTTTACTGTAAACAATTGCATTCAATCCTGACATGGGTTGGGTTTGGACTAGAGAAAGCGTCGACGTGATAAATCATCAGTGAACCCTTCAACAACAGCGGGTCGTTGTGACCGGAGGAAATATCTCTTACAGATAAGAGAGGAAAATACTCGAAGTTGTGTTCAACAGTTGTATATAATGGTTATTTAGAATATAGAGAGTTAATTTATAATTAAAATAAGTTTTGGGATTATTAGAGATATGTTTGTAATTTTACCATGATATTTTTGAAGAATGTTAATCAATGATGACATCAAATGACGACCTCTCTAGTAGTAGCTATATTACCTTAAGTAAATGAGTCGCCATATTTAATTCTCAATCGGGACTATTTAGAAACAATCTTTTCTAAATTGATTCAAATCTATAGTTCTGAGTTGTAACCCCAGAAGAAGTTCGTAGTCTGTTTTCTCTTAGAACTAACTAAATTAGTGCAGTTCTGTGGTACTTATGTAAAAATAAGAGTACCTATATTATGTCCATTACCTGCTGAGAAACAATTTTATTAAACATTTTATTTTGCAAAACACTTTCTTTACTTATTCATTATAAATCTTAGTATAATGATTGCTTAATGGCTATTGACAAATTTTATTAAACATAGTTATAAACATTCTTAATCCACTAGTTAAATACATCAGCCTCTCTATGTCTACAAAGTACCTGCCATATGTTATTTATTATTATTGCTGTTCCTTGTAATGGATAGCAACTAATTGCATTTACCTGTATAATAAGATCGCCACTGACTAACTTTTATTCCCCATGGGTTGTGTGGCCGACTACTTCTATTCGTCGATTGTTCAGGTTATATAATGATATTATTTAATAAATTTAATTTTGTATATTCATTTAGTGTTAGTTTATTGCATGATTATTCAAATATTTAAAATATCGTGCACAATCAACCAACACCAAGCACGTTTTCTTTTAAGTAATCATTTATAGAGTATTTGATTTTATTCAATAAGTATTTTGTAATAAAACTTTTAATTTAATAAAAATGTAGATTAAGATATACGTTCTAGTAAAATCCTTATTTTGAAATCTATCATGCAGTTAATTTCCGAGTATAATCCACTTTACAAAATGTCCAACAATAACAGCAGTTGCGGAACTACGTTTCGTATCCGTACCTTAGGGATAATGTAAAATAAATTAATTATGCGTCAGGAAAATCCCTTTAAACCATTCATTGTGTTCTCACCTCTATATGTGTGTTTAGTATAAATATTATCACAACATTAGAAAGTTTCGCAACATGCTTCCTACGTAGAATCCCTACTTAAACTGAAGTTGCAAACAGCCAACAAGTGAATAAAGTTATATTTTATGTTTCTCTTTTTTGTTTTTACAGAGATTTAACATTATAGCGGCAATAGTTAATCCTATTAATATTATATTATTTATACGAAAGTTTGTACAGATGGATGTTTGTTACTCTTTTATACAAAAACTACTGAATAGATTTGTATTAAATTTCGTTAATGGGTAGGTTATATCTTAACTTAGCACTTACTTTATGCACCGGTTTATACTGCCGAAGCTGCGAGATACAACTAGTATAAAATAGAATTTCACCTACACTTTGTTTATGTTCCATTACTCGAGATAGACGTAGGATGTTTTCTTTTTCCACCAATCCTTATCAGCCGTCGCATCTGGGCATACATTTCTATTATATGTATATATATCATATTTCACACATTTTATTCTTCCTTTCTTTATATCCATCTATGTTAACCTTTAAAATATTGCTTGCAATTCCACATGACATTCCTGACACTTAAATGATCAGTTATTATTTACTTCATATTTCTTTATTACATATTTACTCGTACATACTCATTATTTATTCTTTCTTTCATTTTATATTTTCTATTACTTGTCACCTTACCTATCCATCTTAATATTCGCACTTTAACTTCATTTTTCATTCATCGTCTCACTGTCAAACATTAAAATTTATCATAATTACAATTATTTTTTTATTTTACTTTTTTTTTTTTTATATACAACTTAGAATGGCAAACAAGCTGACGGTCCACCTGATGGAAAGTGGTAACCATCGCCTATAGACATGAGCAGTACCATGTACATAACAGAGTATACTGTTTCGCTCATGATACCCCCCATGCGTTGCCATTCCTGAGGACTCGGGTGTTATTCCTCTGTACCCTGTAAATTCACGCCATATCCCACCCTTCAAACCGAAACACAGCCATGCAAACACAACTGCTTCACGGTTGAAACACGAATGGGACAGAGGCTCTTTAATTGGCATAACATTCAGATATCATGCAATATTCTCAAGATTTGCTTCATTACATCTATCCAACGCTAATTCTTAACGTAACATAAAACTTTAGTACTAGTATAAAATACGAATAATACATTTCTTGTATAAATGACTATATAAGAAATTCAAATTTAATATGCAATTAATCTACAGCTTCATTATCGTCATCATCATCATATTAGCCTTTAACCGTCCACTGCTGAACATAAGACTCCCCCTTGAAAGGTTTTGCCAGTAGTCAGTTGCCATGCTTGGCAGGCGGATTGGCAACCGCAGTCAGGCTTTAGAGATGTTTTAAGAGTGACACTGCTGCCTATCCCTCACCCTCCCTTAGTCGGTTTTTACGACACCCACGGGATAAGCAGGGATGGCCTATTATATGCCGGGACCACACGGTAACTTCATACTTAGTAGTAATTGATAAGATCTAATTTTAAATCTCTAAATTCGTACCACTAAATTATTCAGCAACATTGTGGCTCATAAAAATAATATTAAAACACAAATACAGCCACAACACCGTCATAGTTTCCGAATAGAATTTTTATTATTAGTTACTTGCTCATAATAGTTATCTAACAAACTAATTATAAGACCATATAGAGTAATAATGGGTACTTTATATCACATAAAACTTTTTAACATGTTTAAATTCTAGATAGTAAAATCTGGTTAAGGGATATTGTGTTAATAAGCATAGTTTCAAATTCAAGGGTATTACAGTTTCATGCTCAATATACATTTACATTTTTTTTCTTTTCAGATTACATTGAAAAGAGACCTTTACCACTAGACCTTTACAAAATCGGTACTAATATTATAAATATGAAAGTAAATTTAATTGTCTGTTACCTCTTAGCGCCTTTACAATTTAACCATTGGGTATAGGTATACTATCATATAGGGGATGGAAAAGGATAGTTTTTGTCCCGGTCAGTTAACATACTTAGGTTAAGTGAACGAAGTCATGGGTAAATGCTAGGGATATACATATATCCTTTAAAAGATCTAGCATTGTACATATAAACTATAGTTTCTAATGAGAGAGGATTGTACCCAACAAGAATGATGAAAAAGATAAGTAAGGTGATAAGAAATAAAATATATATAAAGACGAAGTAAAGTAAGGGCAAAAACAAACATTATGTTTGGTCTTCTAAACAACAATTTCTAAATAAAACAAATGCTGCTAATATCTGTTTTATGTCCAATGTATATTGCCATTTGATATTGACCTTTTTTCTTCTTATACTAAAAAACATTTCTTAAAATTAAAAAAAAATTCTGTACGTGTGTTATAACAATTAAGTAATAATAATATAACTTGTTTATTTATAATTTGGTAGTAAATATTTATACATTTTATAGCCAACTTATTATACTGTAACAAATAAATTAATTACTGGATATATTTAGTATTAGACTGTATATTTATTTTATAGAATAACTTCACTTATTATTAATGAGATAATAAAAAAATACTATCACTTACTATATCGACCAGACTAAAAAGCATACAACCCTATTTCACACAAACACACTTATTTATAGAATTAAAAAAAAATACTGAATTAGAATTTCGAAGAAAAATTCTTACATCACAATACTTCGTAACTAGGTCAAGACATCCACTCTGAAATACAAACTTAATTACGCATTGTTGTTTACTTAGTCCGTTCGCGGAAAGACCACACAATATCGACAATGACACAATACGTCAATAAATTGAATATATATTATATATATTGTAGCTGACATTTAAATTATCAATTGGCAAATTCCTGTTTCTTAAACAGTTTTCTTAAACGTTATTATGCGTGACGACACTCTTTTTTTATTCCTTGTATTTAGGATTCTCAAATGCAAATAAAATATTTTAAGAAAGTTACTCATTTTAAAATGTTTTATTTAAAAGGAATTATTAATACAAATATATAATATCAGAAATCATCTAAGCGTAAGCAATATTGTAAAGAAACATAATCTTAACTACTGTTTCTTATCTTTTCAGATGGGAAATTTCTCCAATCATCGGCACTAATGAAGCAATCCACAGACGGGATATTGAACTAGCAACATCTCGAACCGCCCTTTAAGCGCAATAAAACAAAACGCCCCACAGCAATTTACACCAAAGATCAGCTACAAACAAATACGTACTGTATATATATAGAAATAAGAACGAATTCACCAATTGCGAGTTTGTGTTCCAATGGATATGTTTGCAGTTGGAAAGGCAAGCCAGACGATATGTCAATTAAAATTCAATCTCAATTGTAACCAGACACGCCATTTAAAAACGAAAAAACTCCACGACGAGGTCGTGTTCCAAACTTGACTTGTCTATATTTATGTTTCAGTATAATTCATTGCTAATTGAGTTACAAGTAATATAATTAGTAGACCAAAATCAAAACCAATGTATGGCAAAGTCAAAAAAACGATACAAGTAATCGTCACCCACACCAGGGACTCGTATGGCGACTCAAAGTCATAACTCCTACTGTTCACTGCCCAACTTTGTTGCTTTATCTTCGCGTCTTCTAATACTGGTATCTTTAGTATTGCTACAAATAGATTTGTCCAATGCCTCGGTAAACTTCAGTGAATCAACTGTTGGGTCTGAGTTTAATATTACCAGTCTAAACTCAACAGTTAACTGGACAGTTTTCGATGATAACATCACTGATGTACACATAAAGCATAAGAAATACTCGACAGCGGTCAGCATACTGCTAGCCACAGTTTTTATGATTGTAATTATTGGAACTGTGGTAGGAAATATATTAGTGTGTGTTGCCGTTTGTCTTGTAAGAAAATTAAGAAGACCTAGCAACTATCTAATTGTATCATTGGCTGTGAGCGATCTTTGTGTTGCTATCATTGTAATGCCCATTGCTATGGTATATGACATTATGGGTACTTGGCCATTTGGACCAATTATTTGCGATTTTTGGGTATCAAGTGATGTGCTTTCTTGTGCTGCAAGTATATTAAACCTCTGTATGATCTCTGTCGATAGATATTATGCAATTACAAAACCATTAGAATATGGTGTTAAAAGAACTCCAAGAAGAATGTTTTTCTGCGTTTTTATCGTATGGATGAGCGCAGCATTTATATCGCTTCCACCAGTTCTAATATTGGGCAATGAGAAGACTGAGACGTCATGTTCTGTGTCCCAAAATAAGGTGTACCAAATCTATGCAACCCTTGGTTCTTTTTACATACCACTCACTGTGATGATTGTAGTTTACTACAAAATATTTAGCGCCGCTAGAAAAATTGTGAAAGATGAAAGGCGTGCTCAATCACATTTGGAAACACATTGCTATCTTGAAATTAATGTTAAGAATGGTGGAGCTGCAGAGGCAAGACTTTTGGGTACGCAACCATCACAAGCTGCAGCTAGAGGATCCACTGCCAGCACTAATACTACGGTTAGTATTTCAAATAATCTAATATGTATTTATAAATTGTTTTTTTTTTTTTGTAATTTATAAGAATAAATATTATTTGCAAACTGAAAGCAAATAAAATAAAATAGAACGCAATTTAAAACTTAGTAAACAAGTTTGTTAATTTCATAAATTCTTTGTCTAGATTTATATTATTTTGTTGTAATTAACTATGGTTATTTCATCACCTAATTCAAATACATGTTTAAACTCAATTTATATTTACGACAAGTATGTTATACTCATATTCATTATCTTATAAAAAGGTTGCTTGTTTGTAATGAATAAACTCAAAAACTACATTACTGATTACAAAAATCCTTTCGCTCATAGAGAAATATTATCAATGAATAACATGGGCTATATTATCTTTCTCTATCTATCTACCCGCACAAAACAAAAGTGGATCACTAGTAATTATGTTAATATTTACACAAATAGAATAATACTACTATAGTATACTGTTAAATTTAAGATAAATCTGTGCCCTATTATAAAATACACTTTTCGAGTTTCTAAATCTAAAAAAATGATAATATAATAGGTTCATTCTCTTTGTTACAGTGCAGTGTAGATAAAACAGAAAGCACAATAGGAAGGTGTTTCAGCGGACAGCGCAAGTCCAACGAGTCACAGTGTCCAATGTTACAACAAATGAAAACGCCTACTAAACCTATACATACTATAAACCGATCCACATCCCACACCCCAACCACAGACAATAAACTTCAAATTAAAGAAAGACGAAGACAATCATCTGAAAGTAGTAATAAACTAACGACTAATAGAATTCGGTCGTCACTATCAAATTTTGCTCAAAAAAGTCACATCGCCAAAGACCTGCTCCACTCATCTTCACATTCACCTCACCAAAAGAAATTGAGATTTCAATTAGCAAAGGAGCGAAAAGCGTCTACTACTCTTGGTATTATAATGTCAGCATTTGTATTTTGCTGGTTTCCATTCTTCGTGCTTGCTTTAGTGAGGCCTTTTGTCGAAGAAGATGCCATTCCAGATGCAGTCAGTGCGCTCTTTCTTTGGTTAGGTTATATAAACAGTTTACTAAATCCAATAATTTACGCTACCTTGAATAGAGACTTTAGAAAACCGTTCCAAGAAATATTATTCTTTAGATGTTCAAACTTAAATCATATGATGCGGGAGGAATTCTACCATAGTCAGTACGGCGATCCTGATCAGCATTATTGTGTGAATAATACTACTAAAATACACAATTATGATGAAGGTGTAGAAATAGTTTCAGCAGTCGATCGTGAGGAAACAAGAGCATCAGAGAGTTTTCTATGATTGTCAATGCCTGAGGTCGATACAAGAGACCTAGATACTGTGATCTAATTAAGACTTTTTTAAGATAATTACAAGGTCTAACCACTTTTATTTCCTCATATTTGTTCTACTATTTATAACTTTTTATGCTGTTTCAAACCAACTAGTCGTTACTAATTTGTAAAATTCCTCAAAGATTTAGTCAAATTGTTTATATTATGCATTGTAAGTAAAATAAGTACTCTTAAAACTATATTATAATAACAGTTTGCATTGAACAAAGTAATGTATAACGTCGTAGAATGAAGTGTGAGGTAAACAACTTGGTGAATTTATTATTTCAGATTGACCAAAGAAATACTAATTGTAAAAGGAGAAAGGCTTTATAAGGTGTAAGCTGTTATGAATTTGGTAACTATAGTATTAAAACGTATTATGTTGTTGCCTAAGTGGTGTAAATGTATGACATTAAAGTAGTCCAAAGTATTTTAATCCATGTGATAGTAGGTTAGGCAGTCCCCTTTTGCATTATCAATGTTTAATTTATCACTATAAAAGACTTCAATAGTAAAAATATTGATACTGTGCACATATATATACTAAATATTGTTACTTGTTGGGGGTTTTAGTATTTATTTTGTAAACGTATATAATATCCCCTATTTTGTTTCTATGTTTAAATTACAAATATTATGTAAATTATTATTATTTATTATTGTTCTTGTTGAAAATATTGTGTACACGTATTAATTACATTGTAAATTTATAATATTGTATCCCTTTGCAATAATACAAAATTAAGATAGGATCGGTAATTAAATTTATTAGATTTCAGCAAATACTGATTGATGTGAATCGGTGGCACTGCCAGATAATAAATTTACAAGAAATAAAATTAAAAACTGTCTTAATGTATCTATCCCATATCAATAAAAACTAAAATAATATACTTGTAAAACAAGGGATGTAGTCTTGAGTCATAATATGTCGTGCATATCTTTTAATTTTTTCCTAACAAAATTTTATGTTTGTGATTTTTAGTTCGGTTGACATTGTTGTATAGTTCTCTTATTTCATTTGTACTGATATTGAATGCTGTATGTTTAAAATACTTTCTTGAATAGTTTTCTTAGTAATAAAAATGCATGCTACTACCAGAACCTATCCAGATTATCCAGTCTTCCACATATGTATTTGTTTTATCGTAGTAAGCGAACTCAAATATTAAAATTAACTTAATTTGTTTGTAATTTTTCTCTTGTTAGCGAACTAATTGAAAGTAAGTTAATACCATATTTAGAAAGAAATTAAAAACTAGGAACGAATATCTTTCAAATATTATAAAAACAGGCGCATCGTTTAATAATAAAATATAAGAAAATAATCAATTAATATTTATTGCAAATATGTAGTAGATGATAATTAACAAGAAGAATGGCTTAATACAGTTCTTGCTATTTCTTTCTCAAATTCTTTAATTATCATTTACATTAATAATGAAGCTCTATAGATTCTTATTATCTCTTTTTCTGACTGTCCATGTATTATGCCAAAAGTACCGGTGAGCTTCATTTCCTTTGTTACAATTTAGGTTATTGCTTAGATTTTATTTATGTCTAATAAAAAAAATAAATGGTTTTAAATCAGGTCTTGTATCTAAAATATAAAATTAAAATATATTATTTATTTCATTTAAAATATAAAATATATTATTTTTGTCAACCGAACTGATTTCAAATTTGCTTATGTAGAACAAATTATGTGTTGTAAATATTGTTATTAAGCACTAGTGACATTATAAATATAAATTAGGTATAGATAAATAATTGTAGGTAGATTATAATATTGCAGACAATGTGTGGGGAAACTACGCTTGGAAAAAAATAATTTGACATTTCAATTTGATGTTTATATTGAGATATATTCTAAAAGTTTCACTGAAGTAGTTTCTTTCCATAATGTATTGTGGTTGTGTGTGGATATTATTATAAGTGAGCCACAATATCAGTTTGAGTACCTCTAAATGTGCAATATAGTATATAATATTCTTATAGATTAATTTCATAAAAAGAAAAAAGAAAGGCAAAGGTAAACTAGAATGCTATAAATCCATTTCAATCAGTGTTACATGCGTGTTTTTCAAAGACTGCAAAACTGAAGGAATACTGGGAACTATTCTTAAATGTAGCTCAAATCTGTCTATAATTATAAATAATTTTAGTATGTGATGTTTCAAAATCGATATAATACACTAAATATCCCTCTCTGTCCATTAGAATCAGATAGTTCTAAAATTAAACAATGAATTTTAAGAATCGGCTTCGTAATTATTTAAACAGTAAAAAAAAGTCTAAATGAAGCGAACAGAACTAAACGAGCAAAAGTGGATCTTTTGCTGTAAAAACAAAAAAAAACTGTAATTTTGATTTAGTTATACAGAAGTTTATGTTTACCTTTGTTAATATTCAATGTTATTATCCATCAATATTAATATTTACCTGTAATGAGCAGAGCTATAATTTTCCGCATATATTGAATAAAATGCTATCCAAAATAGGTTAACTTCGTATTCAATCGACTTAAAAAAAAGTACTAGATTGAATATTTTTGCGAAAATGACATATAATATACGAAAATCTTGGTAAATACTGAAAGAACTTTGATAATTATTATGGTCACTGACTTGTGAATGTTGGTAGTTGTTTATGTTAATTTTGTCACGATGGAAGTTAGATTTTTATAAAATAAAACCGGTATTACTTTAACAATACAATTTCTAATAATTAGCACATTAATTTATCATCTAATCTAAAACTTAGTGATTATAAATTACTTACCTACAAAGACAAGCAGATGCGTCTCCTTTCATTAACCATTTGAAATATGCCTATCTGTCTATCAGAGTACGTACCGGAGAATAACAGCACAATAGTTTGCAGATGTAAACTAGGCCATAAATCTTCCAACTGTCTTTGCTTTCAACCGCCTGTGACAGTCGACTGTCACCAAAGTGTAGACAAGACTTCGAACAAATATTTACCCGACTCTCGATGAAAAGAGTGTGAAATTTTTCAGATATTTTAGGCCAAACTTATATCCTAAACGTCTTGCCTTTCACTAACAAATTTAACTTTTTTCCTTTGCATCGAAGCAAAGGAAAAATTCTTTAATTCTATTAAAAAATAATCACCAATATACTTATAAATACTAGTTTCTAGAGCAGTTAACAACAAAAGCAATATCGTTAACGATTTTAGCAAATGTACTATTGTTTTTTTTAAGCATTATCACTTTTTGTATATTTTATACAAGTAAACAGATAACCAGGTTTCGGTATTTCATTTAATAAAAAGACTAACAGCTGACACTTAGATATTTTTATTATTTTTAATATATATTTTTTATTTACAGATATATTTAATATTTGTCATAGCTATATAAAAAAGAATAATAATAATTTAAATACTAACATTTGTTCTTAGTGTCTTTGGTTCGCAGTCAAGCATTGTCCGGATATGCTGTTACTAGATAAAGAATGTTATATGTAAAATATCATATATTATATGGATGAGATGTCGAAGGTATTCTATGTCTCTGTATCGTAATGTACGAAAGGCTAACTCTGTCCTAGTTAAGTAACATGGCTCTTGACGAAGCGATGCAAAGAGCGGAAACTCCTGTCAAAAGATCTTCAAGCGTGCTAAGTTGGTACTCGAGTATTTGGTGAGACACCAATGTCTTTTAGTTTGTGAATTCAAGTAGACAGCCTGAACACTTAATTCATTTTTAGGTTAGATATTGTGTTGAACTTATTTGTACGAGGACAATAGGGTAACAATTTATCAAACAAATCCAAAGTTTTCACTTATAAATAAACTACTAAGCACAACTTTATTAAAATTATCACAGAAAAGTTCATTTTATAAACTTTACTATAATTATGTACTTTATTTAGATCGTTCCATTTTTAAATTATCATGGATTAAAATTTCACTTTTGGTATATAGGATAACAGTTGGAGAAAATTAATTATTCTTATAATATCTAATAAAAAATAATCATTGTTAATTATTTTAAAACCCCTATTATACCAAAGTATACTGTTTTATTAGATATTTCACTTCCATGAATACGTAGTTTATAAAGTTCAACCAGACTACCACGAAATATTTTCCGATATATACCTAAAAGAACTAAAAAATTCATAAAGAATTACATTCAAAATATATTATGTGTTAAGATATAAAAATCATCACTACGTGTTAGAGTCCGACTTCGTTATTATATTTTTATTAACATCTTAGTGAAAAATTTACCTATAAAAAAATTTTTCAATACGTTTTCATTTAATTGGCATTCTATCATTATTTTAACGCTATATAAATAATAGACTATTGTTAATATTAAACCTCCTGCCTACTGACCCCGATACTAGTCTGAAATGTTTCCGCCAGTTATATCGTTCCACTATCTGGTCTAATCTTTTAGAAATAATAAGCAAAATTGCAGTGAAATTGGAATAGAAGCCGACGGTGCCATAGATTTTATAACGACAAGACATAACGCAACCAAAGAAATATAAAATATTCAACTCCGATTTTACTCTGTAAAACAAGAAACCTTGATCGTGACAAAATTAATACAGGACCAACATTGAATAGGCCTTATCTATTTCAAAAAGAATTATCAAATTTTGTTCAGTATTAATGAAGATTTCATATAAATTCCATAAAAAATGTGGCCTAATTGAGAACCTTATCCATTCTGAAGTCGTTTAAAAAGCTATTCAATACATAATCATAGTCAGTTATGTTTCGAACCAGTGGGTGATAAGACCATTTTATGTAGTTATATGTAAAAATTATCATTAAGAGCATGTTTTCTGAGAAATGGAGGCATGGCCTAACCATTTAGCCAGTAATAACTTGTTAAAAATAATGTTGTATTCATTTTGTTTGATTTTGCCGCAGTGAACGCCACAGCTTTACTGAACAAATGGGACGGTATTACCATACTTTCAGTAAAATGTTTCTGCTTTGGAATGTATAAATTAATGCCGAGCATTCTATTTGTGAAAAAAAAATTCAGAGCTTTATACCCTACACCTTTATTTGTTTACTTATATGCTATTGTAATTTGTAAAAAGATTTTTATTTTGCCCTTATTTTATTATTTATATATTAAAAACTATTTCCCCTGGTAGCACATAAATTCTATAATAATCTTTGTCAACAGTTAAGTGTAATACAAGTAAAGTTACATTCGCCTTGTTGTCTTTGAAATTGATTAAACAAAATTTCCTATTCAAAATTAGAACATTATTAAAGTATTAATCGGAAATATTGTTTTATTTTCTATGCACAAATAAATTCTTGATAATATGCATGTACTCATATTATATCAATCTACATAGATGTCATGTTCCGTGTATTTTTTTATTTTCATTCAAAAATGTTTCTATATTACATTGTGTGTATATTGTATAATAAATAAAATAGTTACTATCATTGTTTTTCAGTCATTGGCGATTCTATGCTCCATAAGTATGTATCCATACCTATACATACATAAATAATATCACCGTTAAACATATGTCATTATTATTTTTTAATTATTTCAAATAGAACAAACACTGATATATCTTTATATCAAAATACAGGGAACCCCAGTTTGAAAAAAAAAAAATAATTTGTTATTTTTTAATTATTGTAAAAAAATACTACTTTTATTTCATTACTAAATTATCGCCAGTGACTATTTTTTTACTAAAAGTAACCAAAATATGAATTTATGTAAATACTTGTGTCACTCTTGTTAGATGCGAAGAAAATAAACATTAAGTATATCCAAATCCAAATTCCTCATCTTAAGGTATCATTGTATTTTCTTATGTAGGGTCCTAATAAAGCGATGAAATAAAAATTAGATTTCGGAACACTATTTGTTTTATTACTTCCAATTTTCCTGTCAACGTCATAATTTGATACTTTTAATAAAACTTCACATCAATATTAATTTAAAATACTCGATTACTTTTTGTAATAATAATATATCTTTGCATTGTGGAGAGAGTTCTTGTACTGAGACGGCAGTTGTTTTAGGATAGACTCTAAAGAAGTTTTAATTCTGAGAAGACAAAAAATACATCTTATATTTTGCCGTGAATACTTAGTCAAATGGCAAAGTTCCATGAAAGACGACTTCATGATACTATAGTACATCCTTAAGTAAAAAGTTGTATATTGGAACATAATCTCGGCATTTTCATATAGTGGCGAAGTAAAATCACGATATCATCTTTGAATCTGTAAATGAGTTCACTGTTATTAGTTTTTTTAGGACATTGACGAGATTTTAATGTAACTATTAAATACTTCATTTATATTTAATCCTTAAGAATATTACTTTTCGAAATTAATAATTACTTACACAGTTTCGATTTCATCTGAATTTAAAATTAGAACGAGAAACAAGCTGACAGACCACTTGATGGAAAGTATCACAGAATATATTGTAGCTTTAGGTTATATAGATAGAGCTTCGAACCTCAAAAACGGGTCAACTTTTTATCAGCAAGTTAGCTGATAAAAAATCGCTCGTTTTTTTTATTAATGTTCTATATACTTACGCATTAAATGTATCTTGTCGTATTATTTAATGAATAAAATTAATACTTACGCACTAAAAAGACGCAGAAATTATAAGACAAAATAAACATAGAAGTTATAAAAGAATCACCTATTATCACGCAAAATTGTGTGAAAAAGTTGGTCCGCTTTTTTCGAAACATTTGTACGAGTATGTAGACACTCTATCTATATACTTAATCTAAGATATGGTATTCCTCTCACACGTTACCATCACATTATAGTACAAACTCTATTGCTATCTGATTCTCACTATAAAACTAATTTCATTATTGACATAATGTATTTTATTTAATATAGATAGAATTTTGAAAATACTTCTATCTAAATAATAAACTGCTCTTAGTCATAATAGCGATTAATTGTTCACTATTGAAGATAGACTCAAGGGAAGTCTATCGCCAATAATTGCCACGTTTGGCAGGCGGATTGGCAACCGCAGTTAGGCTTTGATAACGTTTTAAGACACCCACAAGAAAGGAAGAGATGGCCCACTCTACGCCGGCACGACACTGCTAATTGCTTTTGATATTATAGACAAACCTTAGTGGTTTAAATAATACTTTAATTAAATAATTCATTTTTTTTTTTTGTATTTTGTAATATGAAAAAAAAAACGAAAATATACGAAAATAGCCAATCCAACATAGCTGCAACACTGGAAAAAATAAACAAAGTTTTGTACAAAGTCTCCATCTGTTCATATCTATAGACGACGGTTACTACTTTCCATTAGTTAGGCCGTCAGCTTGTGTGTTATTCTAAGTTGTATAAAAAAATTAATATAAGTTTTTTTATATACTTTTACAGCAAAAATTCAAATCAATGTGTCTCCAGAAAGGACATTACAACGTCCAGTTTAACAACGATACATTTTATTAGAATCAAAGTAGGTACTAACATTTTCATAATTAATACGCGTAGCAAGATTAGAATTTCTAATTGTACCACGGTGACGTCATTTCGCATTTGCCTATACAGGGGAAATCAACATAGGATTAAATTCAATTGAACGGACTTAGGACTCTTTCACGTTGAAACAAAATTTGGTAAGATTTGAATCCGTTTGTTATGGCTTGAAACCATAGTAATCGTCAAACATTCTATAATTTCTTTCAGATCCTCGAAGATTGACTGTAAGAAATCAATGGAGCAAATCCGCCATTATATGTTAAATCTTCTTAATGTGCCCAATATAATATACAATAAAGATTTTATAATACAATGTATTATGTACAATACAATACTCCTCAGGAATAACAACGCATTATGGGTACCATAGACATCATATCACAGTATTTGTGATGTCCGTCGTACTGTCCATATCTACGCCAAAGATTATTACGTTCGAGGCCGTCAGATTGTTTGTCATTCTATGTACCTGTTATAAAAAAACTTTACAGCAACACAGTCGTCATAAAATTTAGTAAACATAATATACACTTGCATATACGCGGTTCACTTACATGTATGAGTAAATATTAATAAATTTTAATAATTGCTAATGAGCAATCTGACACTAGCTTAGGATATTCATAATTTTTGAAGAGTTACTTTATTGAGAACCTATTAAGGTTATAAGTACCTTCAATTACTTAGCTATATATAATATATTTTTTTATTCCAAAGTCAAGGTAACAATAACTCCAAAATATAATTATAGTACAAAAAATACACATGAAATTTCTAATTTGCGTCTGTAATTAACCTTATTTTTATTTAACTCAAAATAAATTTTCGTGGTAACATTTAAGTCATTTTTATTTAATTTTATTTCCATGGATTGTAATGTAAGCGTTTATTGTTTTAATTATACGAGCGGTTCGGGTATGAACCGAAGCAATTCCGTCGTATGATGGTATGGAATTTAAGAAATTTCAAGTTGGGAACCGAAGTTTTCTACAGACGCACCTACATATTTATGGGAATAAGAAAACCAGGTAAGTTTACACCTACATTAAATATTAATTTATACAATTGTATCATTGTGTTTGTAAATTGTCTTGCTTATTTCCTATATTGTAAAATGCAAATAAAGTATACTCATTCATTCATTCATTCATTTATCGTTACATTTTACAATATATTACATTTTACAAATTGTCTTTACTCGTATTTAGCAATGAACAATATCTACATAAAATAAAATAAGGAACAATCATTACCTACTTTTAAGATAATTTTATCTTAATACACCATATAAAAGTGGTCTACACTATTGATTATCCTACTTCCAAAAATCACACGTACGAAGGAGCGAACAAAAGCTAGTTAATAATAAAATTATAACAACACTGTAAAAACATTGTTCCTGACAATATAAAGGTTGTTTGTTCAACCAAAAAATTTGAACATTTTTTGTTTTTTTTTTTCACAACTTAGAAAGGCAAACAAGCTGACGGCCCATCTAATGAAAAGTGGTAACGGTCACCTATAGACATGAGCAGTACCATGGACATAACAGAGTATACTGTTTCGCCCATGATACCTCCCATGCGTTGCCATTCCTGAGGGCTCCGGTGTTATTCCTCTGTACCCTGTAAATTTGTCTTTATTTTATATATCTTCACGCCAAGTCCCATAAAGAGTAGATAAGGATAAAAGTCTGTATTCTTATTATTATATATCTCTTACTACATCTACTTTCATAACTCATATGTAGGAAAGCAATTGTTAGTAATGGATATCTAGCAATCCCATTTATAGCAATTACCCTACTTCCGAAAACCACAATAACATAACCGAAAGTATCAAAAATTTGCCTACTGATACTAATATAAAATACTAATTTACCTCTATCTACTACACGTGTAAGCTACATCAAATCTGTCGTTAACTGTCCACTGCTGAATATAGGCCTCCCCTCATTGGGAGGTTTTGCTAGTAGTTGCCACACTTGGCAGGCGGATGGGCAACCGCAGTTAGCCTTTGATGATGTTTTAAGAGAGATTTTGCTGTCCATGCCACGACCATTAAGTCCCCTTAGTCGCCTCTTACGACACTCACGAGAAAGGAATGGGTGACCCAATCTATGCCGGGACTACACGGCAAGAATTACCATGCCAATTATAAAATGCTATACGTTGCGTCAAACATTTAGTCATACACTACACACACCTTTATAACATTATCCTCCATTCCTCGTCAGTCGGGTAAAAATTAACCCCCGCACTCGGAACCTTATAAGAGAACATAATATTATCTGAACCGGCTTCTATTTGCTTGCTCACATTTCCAAAGAAAATTAACATACATATTGCGCTTGAAATAATAAAACGCACGCACACACTGCTCCACAGTTATGACCTTTTACGTTAAATCTTCCTTTTAATTTTATTCTCCTTTTCGTAATTAGATCTCTTAGAAAATAACTAAAAAAAATAACTTATTATGATGTTCTCAATATAGAAAATATTTAAATAATTGTATACATTTTTAATACAATTTTTAACTTTTATCTTTAATAATACAGTAAAGTATAAACAGTTGGTTTGAAAGAAAGTGTCGGTGTCAAAATAAGAAAGGCGGTTTTTTTAATGGTTGATAATAGAATGGTAACCCTGCTTGCGCTATTGGTACACTATAATGGGGCACCAGTGAGGGATGATAGGTGAAGATGAAGCACGTGAGTTAGCCCACCGTCACGAATTTTACAATAAATCAATCACTATGTTTTCCAGAGGTAACCACGAGGAGGTCGACCTAACAGGGTATATTATTAGCAGTGAGGCTATCAATCCTCATTATTAACAATCCGTTTTCCCGCTGCTTTGGTGGTTCGGACATGTGCCCATACATACACATTTCAGACAAACGAGTCTCCTCAATCAATTCAGTGCCTATAATCATGTGGTATTCTAGCCCGCATGGTGGGCTACAAGTTTGCCGACCCCTGCTGTTTAGTAAAACCAACATACTTTGTGGGTCACCACAAAATAAACATTACGCGGCATCTAATAAATATTTATTAAACCTACTCTGCTGTTTCATGTACAATAAATTTTCGAGTTACATTAAAAATCCCTTAATCTTTCTAGTTCTAGTGGTTTGTGTTAAACCTCCAAAATTTCTAATAGTCACAGATTCGATCCCAACATAATACAAACATTTATATACATAAATAAGTCTGTATTAATGTAAAAATATTTTCTTTATCTCTAACTAAAACAATCAGTTTTCGCCATAAACTTGTTTATAATTGACCTAATCTAAATGTACTTAATGTACTCTGAATTCGATCAAAAATTTCTAATTATTTAAAAATATGTTTTATTCTGTTACTTTCCTAAT